CGATCTTGAAAAGGTTCTTCATGTATGACTCGATTCTGACTTTGACCTTGTTCTTCTTCTTGATCATTTTCTTCCAGATTTATCTTTTCTAGAATACATTCACAATCAATAACTTCTACTTATAATGGTTTAAGGTTAGTTTCATCCAAAGTAATGTGAAATAATTTTTTTAATGTCAAGGTTCTTTTGCTATATACTTTAAAATCTTTCATGGAAGTGGAATATCCTACGAATATGCCTTCATCAGCTATTGCATCAAAAAATTTGAGGTTATCTTTACCATTATTAAGGTAAATATTTGCATCAAAATACATGTAAATGAGAAATATTAGGATTTCTTCCTTTTTATAGTTCATAAGGCGTCCACTTTAGAATTGTTCTTATCAAGACAAGACTCGAAACATAGCAGGCAATGCTTATTGTATCATCTCAAAGATTTATTTTCCTCTCTACTACCCCCATTTTGTTGGGGATTTCATGGAATGGAAAAATTATGCCAAATACTATTCTCGTTACAAACTTTTTCGAATTCCTCAATTTAGAATTCTTCACTGTGGTCGCTTCTAATGGATGAAATTCTTAATCTCATTTTGGATAATCTTGTCTAGTTTTCGAAAGGCAATAAACATATCTCTTTTATGAGATAAAAATAATGTTTAGGAGTAGAGAGAGTAGTCATTCAGAACTAAAAGGGCGTAGATGTTTCCACCAATACTTACAGTTCTTGATGGACCCAAACGATCCATGTGAAGCAGTACTAAGGGCCGATCTATGGCAACAACATTTTTTGCTTTAAAAGAGGCCCTTACTTGCTTAATCTTTTGGCACATATCACATAATTTTTTGTTTTCGAAATTTAATTTTGGAAGGTCGTCAACAAGATTCTTGCAAACAAAATTATTCAAGTGGTCAATATGATGTGAGTTATTCTCATATGCCATAGCCAAGATTCATCCTCGTTACTCAGGAGACATGCATCACTTGGAGGGATTTCATTTGAATTCACTATGTAGATATTTCCACTTCTTGAACTTGTGAAGAGAGTTTCATTTCATTTAGATTTTATAACCCTGCATCTAGAAGAATCAAAGGTTACATTGTTACCTCTGTAACATAGTTGACTTATACTAAGTAAATTATGTTTTAACCCTTTAACCAATGGAACTTCCCTAATTGTTGGACCGGTGGACTTACTAACGGTGCCAAAACCTAAAATTTCCCCTTATTATTATCATCATAAGAGACAAATCATCCCTTCTTGGGAAAGAAAGAGGAGAATAATGTTTTATCACCAATCATATGCTTTGAACAACCACTATCAAGGTAACATTTAGAATTCGAGACTGTAAAACACTCATACAATAAAAACTCAGATCTTAACTTTAGATACCCATATCATTTTGGGTCCTCTATTATTTAGTTTCATAAATGTTCTTATTATTGAATTTTATATTAGAGACACAAGCATTTTATGGAGTAGATGAATTTTTTATTTTGTGCTCACAATGTTTTTTTTTATAAAAGTATGAAGGACAATGTCCTTCTATGCTCTCATGACTTTTCTTAGTAAAAAACATGGAAATATATCCTTCTTATTACATTAGTTGCATTTTAAGGTTTTGCAGTGAAAGGTGGATTTAGTATTACAAATGTTATTAAAGATCTTACTATTGTTGTTGGGTTCATAGCCAAGACCGACTTTATTGTAGGAAGATCTTTGGTTTCCTAAATAAATATTCAAGTTGTATTTTCCTATGGTGAACTTGACAATTGTCTTTTGAAAATCGCAAATTTCATTTTTTAAAATATCACATTCATTGTACTTGATAGGTTCACATTCTTTGTTAAAAGTGGAATAGTTAATCATTTTGCAAAATATCACATTCATTGTACTTGATCATTTTGTATTTCTCTAATAATTTTTATTTATATCTCGAGGTTTTTATTTTAGATTCAATGAAAGAAATATTATCCATGGATATATATACAGTTTGATCCAGTTTACTTGTTTTTTTTTGTTAGCTTCTTACAAATGAAAAAAAATTATGATAAGAAAAGTAAGAGGTTAGCTCATCATCACGATGATTTTCTATGAGACATATGTAGGCTTCTTCTTCATCATCTAAAGATTCCATATCATTATCCTCCCATGCAATGTAAGCCCTCTTGCATTTTTTCTTAAGTTTATTAGATTTCTTCTGATTTTGATTTTCCTTTTTTGCTAAAGAATAATTTCGCCCGATGTGCCCTTTATTTCCACATAGGTAGCACATGGGAGTGAATGAAGATTTTTTCCTTATCTTTTTCTTGTTTATATTTTTTTTGTTTCTCATGCCTTAGGAATCTTTTGAAGTCTTTTTTTTTTACTATAAGGGACATATCACTATCTGAGTTGGAATCTTTGGCTTTGAGTGTTAGACGTCTACTTTTCTTTTCTCTTTCCTCATCTATGACAAGCCGTTTTAGTTTCATTATGTGTTCCTGCAATTTTCGAGAGAGAGAGAGAGAGAGAGAGAGAGAGAGAGAGAGAGAGAGAGAGAGAGAGAGAGTGTGTGTGTGTGTGTGTGGGGGGGGGGGGTGTGCGCGCGTGTGTGTGTCCATAGTTACTAAATCCCTAGATTTATAAATCGTAGTGACTTTAAGATGCCAACTACAATTTAAGCATATAAGAATGAAGGTTTTGATAAAAAGTTGTTACCAATCATTAAGAGACTGCCATAATTGATTATGGACTCAATTAGGAATCATCTATTCTATTAGGCATATAAGGTAATTGATTAAAAAATTAAAAAAAAAAAATCATAATCACGCTGACAGTCCCCTAATCAACTGGCTAGGCGTTGAAAACATTTTTATGTGATTTTGTTAAGTAAAGAGAGACCTTAAAGTATTTTAAGTGTGTGCGTGAGAGAGTCACCTTAGTATATTAAAAGTTATTCTCCTACTTTCACAAGACTCTGGTCACTCAGATAGACACAACCAATCGAACTTTCACACTTCTCTCTTTCATAACTCTGAAGCTTTTAAGTTCCTTAGCTAGATATTTCAATTATATAACCACTTCACTAGAACCTTGAATCTTCTATTGGATGAAGCTTGAGATATCTTTAAGTTAATCATCATCATCAGAGAGTTGGAAAGATATTATCACCAACTTCAATATTCATAAGTGTCGTCGTCATCAAAACACTAGGAAGGTTGTCAACAAGATCATCAACTTCATACCAGCAAGCACATAGACCCACACATACTTCTTCTAATTTTTGCTACTTTTGAAGGAAACTTTAATACATGATGTAAATCGAGCCTTTTGGTCCTTCTAAAATATATTATACTCTATGTTCGCTGACATTGAATGATTCATCTGCAAATAAGGTCCACGTGACAATCCTTGTTGTGTTTTATTTCAATAGTAAAATCTACTAATACTCGATATCGATACTTGAAATCTATCAAAATGGACTAGCCCATATGGGTTGACCTGCCAGACCAGAAAAATCATAGGGTTTGGGCCTTAAAATTAAAGTCCATATTTTTCATAGTTTTTTTTAGCCCAAGCCTAAAAAGCCCGCTACCCATTAGGACTAACCCGTATGGACGGTGAGTAGCCCGTTAGGCCTATATATGAATATAATAAACACTTTTTCCTAAATTTATCTATATTCTATTGAATCTTTCTCTTTTAAATCTTATACATTAATATAATAAACTCTTTTTCCTCGTATTCTATTAATTTCTCTTATATTAAATATTCGAGTATTATTTTATTCATTGTAGACATGTGTTGTATTTAAAAACATATTATAAAATTTATAAAAGATAATATTATACTTAAAAATGTATTATGTTTAAAATGTATTATGTACTTAAAAATATTATTTATAATAAATATTATGGGATTTTTATTTTAAAAAAAAAGTTCATTTAGAGTCGGATAACTCGAAATCCATTTAGGACTAGATTTGTATTGTAACTTTCTAGTTAATATTGCAACAGAGTTTTTTGAGTTTAGCCCTGAAACACCCGAGACCTATCAGAGTCTGCCCGTTTAGGGCCAAGTAACTCATTTTAACCACTCACAGCTTAAACTTTTTTTTTTTTTAATTTTGTTGACCATGCCACATTTCTTCTAAAGAACTCGTATTTTTAGAGAATTTTTTTTTATGGAGTAAAACTTAAAAAATTAAAAATAATAAATTAAAAACTCTCCAACTTGTGAGCAAATTTTTTAATGTGAAATTATTTCAATTCAATTTTTTCATATTGCTAATAAGAATTTTTTTTATGGAGTAAAACTTAAAAAAAAGTAAAAATAAAGAAAATAATAAATAAAAAACTAACCAACTTGTGAGCAAACTTTTTAATGTGAAATTATCTCAATTCAATTTTTTCATATTGCTAATAAAGTTGAATTACATCTCTTTCCTCCTCCAATGTTAGCTAATAAAATTGTTTATTTCTACTAAGAGTTAAATTTGCACCATAGATAGGGAAGGTCAATACTAGATGTGATGAAATGAACCTTCTTAATTTGTTTAATGTCTACTCACATTGATGGATCCATGAATTATTATTAGTTTCTTTTGTATTTGGTGAAATGACAATGATCGATTCACACACATGAATATAAATTGTGAAAAGAATACAACTTAGCCTTCTAAGAATCACACTCTTTTGATTGGTGTCAAACTCCACTTTGAATTATCATAAACCCTAAGAATTTTCTTCCTTTTAACTCTGAAGATGCACTTTTTTTAGTTTAGTTTTTCAACTTGAGGCTTTACCTATAATTGACATGTAAAAACTATAGATTTTAAATAAAAATCTTTTTATTCTATGCATGGCCCTTGTTTTCCAACTACTACCATTTGGTCCAAATTCTCTCATCATTTCCCTTTCTTTATTACTCCTTACTCATTCCAAGTTTTCTCACTCCCTCTTTGTCTATCAATATTTTAGCTTTCTCATACACCCTAAACTTTTTTCACACACTACAAAAAATGGCACCTTCTATTTCCCTCTCTGTCTTATTTCTCCTTTTTCTCCAGTTTCCCCTACAAACCATCTCAACCAACTCTGAAGGTATGTCCTACAAGTTCATCTCTCAACTTTCCCCTTTGCTTTTCAACTGTATGTTCTTGTAAAGTCAAGTCAATATTTGTGTTTGTTGATTGTGTAGGGAATGCTCTTCATGCTTTGAGGACCAGACTTTCTGATCCCAACAATGTTCTGCAGAGTTGGGACCCAACACTGGTTAATCCATGTACTTGGTTTCATGTTACATGTGACTCCAACAACCATGTCACTCGCTTGTATGCTTCCATTTCTTCAATACTTTTATTTTTCTCTCTTTTTCATAGTATTTGTGTTTGTTTGGCCTTTCTAATCGGTTGTCTCATCTTTTGTGTTCAGAGACTTGGGAAATTCTAATGTTTCTGGAACTCTAGGCACAGAACTTGGTCATCTACACCATCTGCAATATCTGTATGTGCTCTTTTCTGACATCGACGCGATACTGACACATGTAGATTCTAAAATTATTGATTTTCAGGGAGTTGTATGGGAATGAGTTAAGAGGAAAGATTCCTAAGGAGCTTGGAAAATTGAAAGCACTTATTAGCATGGATTTGTATGATAACAAGTTGGAAGGGAAAATTCCAAAGGCATTTGGCAAGTTGAAGTCATTACAATTCTTGTAAGTATATATGCTAATGTTCATTTTTTCTCATTTTTCTTCTTCTTTTACTTCCTAATTTACTCATTGATTTTGTATCAATTGATTAGGCGTCTAAACAACAACAAGCTGACAGGAACTATTCCAAGAGAACTCACCCGTCTCAAGAATCTCAAAATCTTGTGAGTTTTTTCTAACACTGACACATATACGACACCAACACTGACACTGACGCATACTCAGTTATTGGTGTCAGACACAAGAGAAAAAGGTGTCAATGTTACCGAGCTAATAATTTGTAAATTTTTTTTTGTGATTGATTTATGATCCGATTATAAATTTGCAGTGATGTTTCAAATAATGATCTTTGCGGAACAATACCAGTAGATGGAAACTTTGGATCCTTTCCAATAAAAAGGTACAACAACTTTTCTGTTTTATATAATAATATGCATAACGAATGAATGGTGACACATTTTGAAGGTATAGTCATTGAAATTTTGTGACATTTTTTCTGCTCTTTTTTCAGTTTTGAAAATAACAGACTTGGTGGTCCTGAACTGAAAGGACTTGTTCCGTACGATTTTGGATGCTGAAGAGAGATAGAATTTGGTTATGATCTTAACAGACAGCAATGAAGCAACTTAGTTTGCTTGTTTTAATATCAATATTCCATCATTTTGTTTACTTTTATTGATTACAAAAATAAATAATTGAGAGGGTAAATTGTAATCTGTGTTTTCCCTTTTTTTTATTATTGAATAAAGTGGGTTGTATTGTAAGAATGGTGAAAAAGACAATTGTATGTATGATGCGTAAATGTATCTAGCAAAGATGAGAACTCAGTGAAACATAATAGGCTTACAATTACAACGAGTATTCTTTTCAAGTCCTAGTAATTACAAGGCGTGGTTCTCCCACTACGGTGAAATGTCAAAATTGTCTCTACCGTTTAGAGAGGTATATCCAAACACACTAATTTTTTTATATATATTTCAACACAAATGTATGATTCATTTTTATTTTATTAAAATTTAATCCGGAGATATATCTCCGTATATGACAGAGATGAATCTGGAAATATATCTCCGTAAACACTATTAATTCAAAATTCAGTGGGTGTTATTGAAATACAAGAGACTGAGACAATCGAATAAACCGTGTGTTTTGAAAAACACTATGGTGACTATATTATATATCGAAAAATTATTGATAATTATTTGATATAGTCGACGTGAGACTATTCTATATACAAATATTCTTCACACTATTTAAAAATATCAACACTCCCCCTCAAGCTTGAGCATATAAGTCAATTGCAACAAGCTTGATACATATATAATAGTTCTGGGACTTCGTAGGGATTTTGTAAATACATCTACCAATTGATAATTAGAGTTGACAAACCTTGTGGCGATGTTGCATGATTTAATCTTCTCTTTGACAAAATGACAGTTCACTATGCCAAAAAAGACCTTTAGCAGCGTTTTTTTTTGCCTTTAGCAGCGCTTAAAAGTGCTGCCTAAAGTGGCGCTGCTAAAGGTAAAGACAGCGCTTTTTTTTTTGCCTTTAGCAGCGCTTTTTTTTTGGCCTTTAGCAGCGCTTTTTTCACCCTATAGCAGCGCTTTCATAACCGCTGCCTAATCCCCCTTCATCTCCCCCCTTTAGCAGCGCTTTTTAAAAGCGCTTTCTTAGACCCCCCTTTAGCAGCGCTTATTTAAAGCGCTGTCTTATACCCCCTTTAGCAGCGCTTTTTTAAAGCGCTTTCTTAGACCCTCATTTTCCAACCTATAGCAGCGCTTTTTTATGTCTCTTTTTGCCCCTTTAGCAGCGCTTTTTTTAAAAGCGCTGTCTATTCTTCACGATTTTGATTTTTTTTTATTTAAAAATAATCACATTTTTTATATATTTTTCAATAAACCTGCTTATAACAAATACATTCCCTGCTTATAATTCAGTTCTTTAGTTCAACAGTTTGACCTTATATATAACAATTATTTTGACCTTATTTTTGTGTATTCATCAATTTGCAATATTATACACAATAACTAAAGTATACATTATAATTCATCACTTTGAAATATTATACACATAAACCTGCTTAAATATATTACAACACAGTCCGATCCTCAGAACAAAATCACATATACAATCAATTCACATATAATTACAAATCTGATAACTTTACAAATAGATACAATATTAGATGTCACATTAGGAAGAAATAAACTTAACAATCTTTACTTGACTATTGAATTCTGTATGAGACTGCATGGAGTTCACTATCAGCCACAAATACACGGTTTTCTTCAAGCTTTGTATCATTATTCAATTGAATGTCTTCCAAGCTTAATTCAATAGAACATGATTCATCTTAACAACAACACAAGCAAAAACAATAATAGATAAGTAACAATACACTTGAACAGGCCCATGTAGATCATTAAGTACTAGATTTCTATGAAATTTTCAGTTCTTATCATTATTTGAAGTTTCTGTTAATCAGATTAATAATTAAATATGTATTTATAGAATTAATCTTCATTATCATTACCTTCCAATATATATTTCCTCATGAAGTACCAAAGCAGCCAATACAGTCACAAGAGGGCTAAACAATGCAGAAAAAAGAGGTCCTCTCTGTGTTATGCACCATGCTTGAAGACAAAACATAACCGCTGATCCCATAATTCCCTACAAAATATATTTATTACAAATTATCTAAGATTATGATGTATAAATATTGGTGTGTATCATCATGAAAAATTACCGCATACAAAGTGGAACCAAATTGAAGTAGAGAATTAATCTTCCATGCATTAAGGTCTGGCTCCAAGAATACTGTCACTACGGCTCATTGTAATGTTGAAATGAAACACATCCAAGCTGACAGTGATAAATAATTAGGATGACTTTTGTAAACTGGAACCTGAAAAATATATAAGGGTGAAATGTTATATGTTTATAGAATAATAGTTATATCATAAGTATTAATTATTAAGATTTTAAAAAACAGTCTCTGATGGTACCGATATTGATTTTGTTATTGATTCTGTTATTGACGATTTTTATGATAAGGAATTAATTATGGTTAATTCACATCCGCAACAACCACTAACACTTGTGCCGACTAAAATCGCGTAAGCATAGACCGTTATTTAAGACTTTGATTGTACTGAAATTAAGTACCTGCAAAATTAGCCAAAATGACCCGACAACACTACTTGCCAAAAGAAAAACACATCCTAGCAACCAATTCTTATCAGTATCACTTCCAGCCATGATTGATTTTGAAGGTATGATCGTTGCATTTAATAGTTTTGGACCCTTCAACAATACTATAGACAAAGCTCCACAAATACATATCAAAGTCCCCACAATTTTGGCTATAGTTCTCAAACTTCTAATATTTACTTTTTCCATTCTGTAAAATATTCAAAGAAACATATTATTATTGGTTTGAATTTTGATTGACTAACAAATATAAGTTAAGTTAGTTATTAATTACCCTACAAAGGCTGCTATTAAAAATGTAACTCCGGGAATAAGATTGATCATGGCACTTGCAATTGAAGAAGACGAAAGATATAGTCCCTCAAAATATAGATTTTGATACAATGTAATGCTGCAACATCGAGCATCATTATACATATACAAACATAAAGCTGTATGAATGATCTATACATTCTAAAACTATATCCACATTCATGAAGACACGTGAATTCATTAAATGTTGTGTAACTCGCCAAACAAACTTTATTTCAAAAAAGTTGTCGGATCTATATATTTATGTTTTAAAATTTAATAAATAAATAAGGATTATTTGTAAATTTCAAGATTAACAGAAACTTAAAGCTTTCATCTAAATCACAAATAGTGTGAAGTTTCTAAAGCAACATAATCTAAAAAATCATTAAATATATGTGCAGTATTTCCCTTATAAAAATTATTAGTAAAAAGAACTCATATAAGGTGTGGCATTTCAGCAAACACCTTGTATACGGCTAGATATAATGAAAGTTAACATAAGTAAATTCATTGTGGCATTTCAACAAACACCTTGTATACAAAACTCAAGCCAATATCAAACGAGTAATTTTCATCAACGGTATCAACAAAAACAAGTAAAAAACTTAGAAAAGAAGTAACACTAACATCATATAATCCAAAAAAATGAAATACTAAGACATTAATCCAGAAAAATGCAAAATGAAAAACTTCAAATACCGTAACAATGGACGGACGGCGGCAGAATGAGGTGACGACGGAATGACCGGAGGAAAGACGACGGACGGAGGCTGTCGGACGAAGGCGCGGACGGAATGCGTCGACGGTGACTGTTCTAATTCTGAATAGGGCAACGTTCGCGAGTGGAAATAAGAAAGAAGAAGACTGTTCTGATTCTGTGAAAATATTGGAATTTTTTAAATTTATGCTACTTAAACCTATAGCAGCGCTTTTTTTGGCATTTAGCAGCGCTTTTAAAAGCGCTGCTATAGGTCTGCCTTAGGACCCCCTTTAGCAGCGTTTTTTTTGGCATTTAGCAGCGCTTTTAGAAGCGCTGCTATAGGTATGCCTTAGGACCCCCTTTAGCAGCGCTTTTTTTGGCATTTAGCAGCACTTTTAAAAGCACTGCTATAGGTATGCCTTATGACCCCCTTTAGCAGCGCTTTTTTAAAGCGCTTTCTTTGACCCCCCCCCTTTAGCAGCGCTTTTTTAACAAGCGCTGTCTTAGGTATGCTATTTTTTTTGTTTTTTTTTCATGACCCTTTAGCAGCGCTTTTTTAGAAAGCGCTGTCTTTTGTTGCGCTGCTAAAAGTCATTTCTGGCGTAGTGGTTTATCTCAATATGTTTGGTCCTCTCATGAAAGGCTGGATTTGAAACAATGTGCAATGCAACTTGATTATCAAAAACAAGTGTCGTTGGTCTTGCTTCTTCAATTTTGAAGTTCTTTGAGCAACTGTTTTAAGCAAATGAGTTCACATGTTGCATTGTCATGGCCCAATACTCTAGATCGACGCTTGATCTTGCAACTACATTTTGTTTCTTACCTTTTCAGGATATAAGGTTTCCTCCAACAACTACACAATACCTAAAGGTGGATCGTCTATCAATGGGTGACTCTGCCCAATCAGCATCAGAGTATCCAACTATCTGAGTGTGTCCTTTATCTTCATACACGAGCCTTTTTTTCTGGAGCACATTTGATTTATCTCAGAATCCGGACAACAACATCCATGTTTTATTGGCAAGGATAATTTAAGAACTGGCTTACCACACTAACTGTAAAAGAAATGTTTGGGCGAGTGACTGTGAGATAATTCAATTTTCGAACAAATCTCATACACCTTCCTGAGTCAGATAGACGCTCCCCCTGATTGGATAGGAGTTTGACACTTGGATCCATAGGAGTATCAGTTGGTTTAGCATTCAACAAACCCTTGTTTCTTCCAAAATATTCATAACATATTTCTGCTAATAAATTACCAAACCATCTTTAAATTGAGCTACCTCAATACCTAAAAAATAGCAGAGTATATCCAAGGTCTTTTGTCTGAAATTGATTCGAGAGATATTGTTTAACATGAGTATTGCT